AACCGGAGGAAATTAACACCAATTTAAAAAATGCGAAGGAAACAATATTTCCTTCCCTACTCATTGTGGTGTGACAAAAATACATTTATTATTAACTTTCCACCCAATGCTCAATTTATTTGAAACTATCAAGTCCAAACTTGGTATTGATACCTATATCCGTTTATCTGTTTGGCACGTTACCTTTTACTAGAGAAACCACTGGCTATATGGCATCCGTTTTACCGTTTAAGGAATTCTGTACCTTTGATATTACGTGTTTTTTCTAAATTAGAACCATTTGAATTGAACACGGAGTTTGTGTTTTGATATAATTTATACGAGTTACCGAAAACCGCTTCATATTCTGTACAGAAATACGTAGTCTAGCCTAATGGAATAAACTTTGGCCCGTAAGTTCTGAGTTCAGACGGAATATTGGTATTTCGATCGCTACATCCAGTATAAGCCACCTAACCAAATCTGTAGTGACTCTTTTATTATTGAATCATAAATATAATGACATTAGCCTCAGTATAATTTATACCCTTAAGGATGAATAACATTTTATTATCGTTGCCATTTATGGTATCAAAAATGGGGACTAAAAGTTCACGTTCAGATTGAAAACCGTCTAATGTATTGTTGACACGGACCACAATTTACAGCTTAATACGGGTATCTGTTATGTACACAAAATAAATGCTGTTTATCATATCTCGTTTCCATGGTTGCAGTTTCGTCAAACTTTATCAATTTTAAGCTAATGGTATCGATTTACATTATGGTATACTATCAACTTTCATATAGCTGAAAACAGAACTCTTGAAGATGAGACCCTCTGTCCGGACATGCTATTATTCAGTCATCAACATACACATGTCTCAAGCTGAGACATCAAAAAACGTCATCTATAAACCTTAGGAAAGTTTGAGCAGCATTTCTTAGGCCGAATGCCATGCGCAAAAATTCGTAAAGTCCGAGGGGATTTATAATAGCGTTTTTGGGAATATCGTCCGTGGCCATGATAATTTGATTATAAGCTTTAACAAAGTCGATTTTCGGAGAGTTGTACCTTTCAAGATAGCTGTCAAGTAGTGAATGTGAGGCAAAGGGTAACGATCGGGAATGGTTTTTGCATTCAGTTGCCGTTAGTCACCAGTTGGACGCCAATCGTTGCTGTCCTTTTTAGGGACCATGTGCAACAAAGATGCCCATGGGCTGTTTGACGGTCGAATGATTCCCAACTGTGTCATGTGATGGAATTCGTTTCTAGCCAACCTCGGCTTTTCGGGAGGCAGTCGTTGCGCTTTTCAGAATCCAGGAGCTAGTGCAGTCATGATGTGATGTGTAACATTGCTGGTTACACACGGTAATTTCGGTGGCAGTTGGTATATCTCAGAATCCTTATCTAGTGATGGCCGAAAGAATGGGTCTATCGAGTGCCCAAGTGTGACTGGAGATAATCTGCAACAAGAAAAAGAAGTTACGTAAACAGATAAACCAGTGTTTCCGCCTACTAGCCTCCGTTCGCGCGTATCGATGATGAGGTTGTGGTGTTGTGGGAGGTCTGTGCCAACGATTGGTATAGAAACATCTGCAACAACAAAGATCCAGTGGACGGGTTTGCGTAAACCCACGTTAAGGTAAACGTACCTTTTACCATATGTAGCGATAGGCTTTCCGTTTGCTACCTGTAGGTTCAAAACCGATTCGTGGAGCCGGTCATTAGAATTCACTGGGAAAACGCTAACTTCTGCGCCAGTGTCGGCGAGGTAGCGAACTCTCGTTATCACATCTGTGACGTATAGCAGACGGCTATGTTCACCGGCTACGGTTGCCGTTAACGCGTGCCGGCCTGGATGTTTCCCGAATTGTTTTTTGTGTCGATTTATTCTGGGTTCGGAAAGGTGCAGTGTTTTCTGCAATTTCTGGAGGAATTTCCATACTGATTATGATACCAGCACCAGTCGGGGTTATCTATCTCTCGTGGTCTAGAGACAGGTGGCTTACGTGAAGTGCTTCTTCACAGTGTGTGTGACCGTTTACGATCGTTAAGAAATCTAAGATAACGTGTAAAAGTATGACATAATTCCGTAACGTTATTCTGGATCCTTTGAGGTTTTACTTTGACTGAAAAAACCTCGGCATCGGAAAATTTCGGGATTTTAAGGATGCGTTCAGCAGTTGCAGCCAGCTCGTCTAAGGCGTTGTTTTGAACCGAGACCAGCACAGCTTGCACCTGTTGAGGAAGTTTAGATAAGAAAAGATGTTTGAATAGGCCATCATCGAAGACTCTTTGGCTGATAACCTCTCTCAATCTTAGCAACATGTCTGTCGCAGAACTGTGTTGCGAGTCGATGTTATTAAGAAGTTGGACTAACTTTGTCGGTCGGTTAGGTCTGCGCGTTTAAGGATAGATCATTTAAGTGTTTCGTAGGGTTACGAAACATCACTAGTAAACATACTAGGTGTTACGTGTCTGTTGAATTTGCTCGGTAGTGCCTTGACTACCGCGAGGAATTGTGCACGTGGAAGTCGGCTTCTGCGTAGCAGAACACGAAGAAAATACATCACAATATATAAAAATTAACATAAAGCAATTATCTACAGAACTCCAAGAAGGAATATACTCACAGGTTGCAATTTCGTGTACCAGATCACGTTGAGCTTAACAGTGAAGATGCCAAAAGTATTTGGAATTTGACAACGCTTTAACCAGTAACAACATCTGAGTCGCACTCACCAAGTGAAATCAAAAGACAGAAGTAAGGAGGTTCAAAGATATATTTGATAGGCTATCAATATATCGAGGATCGACTGATCTAATTTGGCAAGCGACTGCAGGGTTTGTTGAGTACGGCGTTCCCACTCGTGATATGGTGTGGATGCATGACCGAGCAACTTCAGCTAGGTGCGTCAGTTAAAACTAACATGGCCAGCATCCAGTGTCGAAGACTTACAGAGCTATTTACTTTGAGGGGTTTTTTAACCTCTACAAGAGCAAGAAAAATCACTCTACTATGTCACCTAAACTTAGTTTAAGCCTATCTAGCTTTTGCTTTCGACTGACGAACACTCCGTGTGGTCCTCGTGTTCATTATAAACGTTACGTCTAGATGACTAAAAAGTTTTCGCAACTTCGAGATATAAAAAGCAAATACAGATGAACGTCTAATATAGTGTATCAATTACCGAAAGCCTTGTTCTTAAGAACACCACGAATCTGGGCAAACACGGATTGTACTTAAATATAAGTGGAAAAATCCTTTCACTGACCATTTAAAAGTCAATCTCAAACCAGTTCAAAACATTTTAGTCCTGAAAAAACGATTCCATTTCTCAAAATCAATAGCTCGTGAAAAAACACGGACAGAATTTTCTTCCAAAAAATCAAACCTTTTCTTCGTGGCTGTCTATTCAGATATAGTATGATGAACCTGTTCTTTGCCGTTTGAATTCTCAACTACTTGAACTCAGGCGTTCAGTATTGTTGCAATGATTCCATAAACTCGTGTTCTGTAATGTCTAACACTATATGTCGACGTAGACTCTCTTGATTCACTAGCATCAGGCAGTGTAAAACTAAATCAATCAATGAGTTGTTTCGGTAAAGCCAGAGAAACTGAAAAGGTAGCCGTATTAACATAAAAGTCGACAATGCAAGACAAAGAACTACGTAACCGACTTTTCAGTCATGGACCTTTTAACAAAATGTGTACATCCATCAATACGATAATTTAGAGTTTAAGGTTTAATATTACAAAATTGTCACAAATGAACAAAACTGCACTCTTCTTCGTTTTTTTCTCTCAGTCACTAAAAACCCTTATCTATCATCAACAGATGCATCTAAACAAACGAGTGGACCTACAATGTTAGAAGCTGAAGATGGCACAGGTATTCAGTGTTTGACAACGCTTTTACCAGTAACACCTTCTAATATAACTCGTACCCACCAAGGGAAATCAAAAGACAGAATCGAGGAGATCAGAAATTGTATTTGACGATTGTCAATATATCGGAATTATCTGATCTAATCTGGCTAGTGATTACAGTAGCAGTTGAACACGGCGTTCCCACACATGATCTGGTGCGGATGCATGGCCGAGGGCCTTCAGCTAGATGAGTTCATTAAAACATGTGGTCAGCATCCAATATCGAAACTTACAGAGCTATTTATTTTCGGAATTATTTACTGCTACAAAACGTTCTTTGATTAGCAGCTGTCAACTCTAGCAAACAACTGAGAGGATATAATGTTTGAAAGTATTTGAATTATCGAATGAAATAGGAATCCCGGAATTAATGCAATCTAATCAAGAAGTACTAGATGAGCACAAACGACTGTATTGTGTTTGGAATACGAAATCTAGCATTCAACAAGTACAAATAAATCATTAATTAATTCAAACACCACAGAGGAATGAAAGTAAATCCATGGGAGAATATAAAGTGCAATCGTATTAATTTTAGTGAACAGTCTACTTGCCACAAATCGTAGATGCACTGTCCTAATGTTGACGACTATATGGCTTGCATATGCGGGTAAATGAAACTAATCATACTTAATATAAAAAAGTTTCTCCCTAATGGTGAAATATAGAGAAAATTTCTAACTTTCGGGTGAGAGAATACTTCAGCAACAAGAATGATCTATGTCTTTATTCACACCCATGTTTCCGAGGAAATTTCACCGAAATTTCCCTAAAATTCTCCACTGTTTTCCCTATTTTCGTAACTTAGTAACCAGACGCCGGAACAGCATATATAAGCAAACGGTAGCAATGTTTTTACTGAGGCGCCTGCTAAATAACATTAGGTCTAACTTCAGAATTTAGCACTGATAATTTCTAACAAATTTCATAGTCATCGTCAATCAACTTCACACGTATCACGCCTACGAAGCATAAGACGGAGACAAACAAATAAGAAAACCATAATAAATCTTATTTTTGAGGGAGCAGTAAAAAAGAACAGTTTTTTAATGTTTCGTCCATTAATTGATTGAGATGTGAATAACCTTCATGATAACCAACCTTGGGGCGGCGGGTTTCTCAAGGCTTTTGCACGGTCAGTGTGAGACTACAAAATGCCCCTGGAACGCCTGGAAGATGAAGGTCTTGAGAAGATCCCCAACCTAAAGCTAGCGCAATGGACATTTCGTGCCGGCTTAGAAAAAACACCTGAACTTTTGCGTAAGCAGCTTCTGGAGAAAATCACCAAATGTATTCAGGATGATAGTAAGTTTCTTTTCGTTTATTTTTTTAAAGTTCCTTCAAATCCATTACACCAACAACTTGTACTTGACGTTAGTTACATTACGTTTAGGTCAAATTGACTCTCCATCCTAAAACTACTAGCACGTAGTTGATATACTTATAGATTACAGCCAAAATTGGAAGCGTTCTTCAGATTAACGACATTCCAATTTTAGCACAAATAGAATAGTCAGTATAAGTCGATTCACTCTAAAAATCATCGCATTATCCTATAAATGTTAAGCGTTTTTATATACTTACTACTACGATTGTCTAGACTTTTTCTGTTCATCTTGGTAATATAACCTCATGGTACTGATTTTGGGTGCAACTCTACTTTATGGACGACCTTTGAACGAATTTTTAAGTGACCTTGAGAACATTAGCCAATCAGAAGAGAGTTAGTATATAGTAAAAATATGTTATAAAAAAGTGATGAATTACAATGGATATTCTTCTTTTACATTATTTAAGAACTTGTTGAGGTTTGATATAGGTTCAGAAGTTTTGAAATCATAGTGGATGCGGTATAAGAACTCGTCCATATGACTCCATAATAATCGTCCTCTGGAGCTGTGGCAGGAACTTAAAAAATACTTCAGCCTAGACCACATGCCCTCAATGTTGTTTGTATGGACCCCCGTCGTTGGATCAACAAAATGACGTTTGTGCACCACAACATGATGCACAAAACCAAGTCTCGAGAGGCATCTATACGCTTTCCAATCATCGGTATAGCCGCAGCTAATGTTACTGGAGACTTTATGATCCAATTTGCAACGGTTATCATGGTTTGTCTTAGCCTTAGCCGCGCCCGGGCAAAATAAGTGCCAGTTCGAGCAGATTTTTTTCTACAACATATAGTACAACGAAATACAATGTCATCGCGGCAGTCTGCACATCGTGCTGCGGTCATTTAATTGCCGCAGTAACAGACACAGGAGCTTCTTAATAGTCCCATCTGCCGTAGTCTCTCAGCGATCTCCCATTCTCTAAAATCTGTTGTAAAACGATCGAATGTGAGCATCTGGCATTGAACTTAGCGCCGTGACCTTGAAACTCCTTAGACGCTTCTGATTGGCTCGTCCATAAATTAGAGTCCTACCTGATTTTGTATTGCGAATTAATGTCTTACTTCATTTTTCGATCCTTACGGTCGTCTTATTGTTGGTGATATTCTGTTCCACTTCTTAGTTGAAAATATCTTATACCTTGATGAAGTTAGTAGATTTCACAGTTTGCACCAAGTCTGTATACTTATGAAAACTAAGTTGCAAGCTATATTGTTTAGTCGTTGATCATTGATTCATTGTGTCCAAAAATAATACATATTCATTTTTTGGAAAAAACCTTGGCCTGTATCTAACATATCATTGCTTTCCCGTGTCTGTGGTTCATGACTAAATTTCTAAACTTATGTGTTCAATTTAGGGATTTTATTGGTGGAACTAATGGACATAAGAACCCGGAGTCCAATAATGTTTTCCAGGGATAGTTTTTGTACTTTACGTAACTGAGCACTAGTCAGTCACTTCACACCTTAGTTAATAAGTTTTTCTTTCTCTATCGTTCAATCTCTGAGATTGTTGTGTTTTATTTTCAGATATGGCTCCATATTACGAACTTGTGTGTAAAGAGCTTAATCTACCAATTGACCAACGAATCTTGAAATCTATGCAGTCAGTAAATGAAGCAAAAATTAAGGAGTTAGATGCAAAGATTAAAGATGCGGAAGAGAATCTAGGTGATACAGAAATCAGAACCGCCATGATGGAAAAAGCTCACTATCTTAGTAAGATTGGTGACAAGGTAATGAGTGACTTAAGTAAACTGATGTAACTTGTGTCACCCAGGAAGGTTCTCTGTCCCAATTTCGACTGATTTTGGATAAAACCTTAATGCCGGGCTTTCGATTAGACACAATTTTCCATATCATACGAATTGGATTCTTTTTTGGAGATAGAGATTTGGTTACAAAGAACATAGAAAAGGCAAACAGGTATGACTTTTTTCGCACAATACTTAGAATGTTAATGATAGCCTAATTGAAGAAGGTGGAGATTGGGATAGACGAAATCGACTTAAAGTTTACCGTGGTTTATATAGTATGTCAGTTCGAGATTTCGATACTGCTGCTAAGAACTTCCTTGATGCTGTCGCCACATTTACTAGTTATGAGTTAATGGATTATAAAACATTTATCATATATACAGTTATGTCTGCAATGATTGCACTTAAACGCCCGGATCTTCGAGAAAAGGTAAATTTATCTGACACTTGTTCGCTTTCCCCTACCTCCATTTGATAATTGTTTTTAATGACAGTTCTTAGAAATGGACTTTTTTTATCTCTTTGTTGGCTATTTTGTGTACTGTGAAGATTAGTATATTATAAAAAGTTTGTACTTTTAGAGTATAAGGTGAATTTGTGTGCTATCATGTAAAGGTTAGAATCCGTCACAACCGGTAATGAGATCCTAATAGTTCTTAACATCATATTACTTTGGGCTGAGCTTCATGATATTTTGACATACATAATATTCCTCAGTGTAACTGCATTCTATTACAGAGTTTTATGTGGTAACTATTGTACAGTCGAATACCGTAGTAAAATTATTTACTGTAGCTGACTACAACTTACCTTATAGGTGACGTCGATGTAAAACACTATGGCGTTTTGAATTGACGTGATTTTCAGTCATAATTTTCTCTACTTATTGGTTACCGTCATATCTTGTTCACAGCTATCTTTAAGTGACAAATGATTAGCTTTTCACGACAAGCTAACATACACCATAGTTTCAAACCTTATCACTGAGCTTTTCTGACTATTAACGACCTATAGGACAGATATTTAGATTCATTGATCACTGATTAGTAACCAATGTCATATTTGTCTAGTCTCTTAGTGGTATTCGAATTCTATAGATGAAATCACAGCGTCCACACTAGTCTGAGTGGTTCAGTATCGCGTGCACAAAACCAAGGCCTAGGATTTCCTGTTGACTCCTAACTGTCTATTGAGCATATCATGTTGAGTCACTTGGACTAGTAGTCAGACCGTAACTTCATCGATAGAATTCGATCAGCACTGAGGAATAAGCTAATACGACATTGGTTTCCGCCCAGTGTTCAATAAAGTAATCCATGCCTACAGTTATATTTATAGTTTACTATATATATTTGCTTTCAGGTTGTTCGTGGATCAGAAATTCAAGAAGTTCTGCATGGATTACCTACTGTACGTGAATATCTCATGTCCTTATTTGATTGTCGTTATGCTGACTTCTTCCTTTCACTTGGTTAGTCAGTCTATGTTATTTACCGTACTTTTTAAATTTCCAGCGAATAAAACAACAACCTGAGTGTTCTGTAGTAAATTTTCAATGTTGATTAATTTATTCTTGATAATGTTTTAGCGGGCGATCAGTTAAGTATGTCAATAAAGTTTTTAAACATGTCTCTAACCGTTATCATGACAAAAGTTTATGGATTTATTTTAAGTCTAACTTGTTAGCTTGTGTTGCCTTTTAATGTTAAATAATTATCATTACACCTTGGGGTCTTGTTAACATTTTACCTCTAAAACTGTAACCAAAATCAGAGTTCAGTTACAGTGGAACTCTGGAAGCAGCTTTGATAGAAGTACATGCTTGGTGATCTATCAGGAGTAGTTGAGAAGTTAATCCATCTCAGTAGTTATGTGACTGCTCCTCGTGGTTTGAATTATTAGACCAATCTACGTATAGTGAAGGCCATAATAGTTTACACCAATCTGGCTCATCTTTAGCGCTGTTGTGATGGTAGTCTGGCTGTTAGAGGTTAGGTTTACAACGCGTTGGGGAGAACATTTGTGATCTATGTCCTCTGTGTTCGGTCATTTTTGATTCCGAAGAATTGCTGACATCTAGTAGTATAACACCATTTTAGTCATATTGAGGTTCGCTAATTTGTGTTCGGGTGCAGTGAAGGTTATTTAGTCAGTCTTGAAAAGACGATATCTGCAAGCTGAACATATGTTACAAATGTCATCCCAGTGACTTCCACATCGTGCATTATTTGGCGACTCTAATGCTGAGTGGAAAAAACTGAGAGGTGGTTATAAGCAGAGTTGGTCAGAGAATGGACAATCGCATTCCTAAACATCAATGGGAAGATTCAAACAGCCAAAACAAAAGTGAGAGGTTGTTAGTTTATGATATAGTGACCTGCTATGAAAGTAAGCTGTATAAAACTGTCACCTATCTGTCCATCACGACTCTGTAGCTGGAGTGCTAGAGATGATGCAACACAGTGGTTTAAAACTATCGGACAACACATAATAGAAGCCAGTGATGGTCCTGCTGTAATTCTTCTCTACGTCATAAAAGTGAGAGAAGCTTCTTTAGCTAAAAGTATCCTCTTTACTTCCCGTTTTACATTGAAATGTCCTATTATATACCCATCCATTTATTTTCCGTTCATCTGTCTTTTGATTATATTCACCACTCCAATTATCTCTATTCATTCACAATCTTATTTTGTTATTTGTGTGAAGCATATGTATTTTGGTTCCAATCTGTACAAGTATATATTTGTTTTGAATTAATAAAAAATTACAACTTTGTCAAGCATACAGGTTTATTTAATTTAATTGTAAGGCAGTCCACAATGTTATACTACCCAATTATCCAAACCTAATAAAAGTCAACAACTATAAAGGCCCAAATATAATCACTTCTCAAAAAAAATCAGTCCATGTCTATACAGTCTAATCCGGCTCACTATCAGTAGATCGTAGATTCAAACCACTGTTCATTTATTTTAGTCTGAGCAAACGTATAATATCTATTGTGACATGTGTCCGATTTCAATAATGATACCTAATCGTCTTATAAATGAACCCAATCGGCTACATAAATGAGAAAGCTTTTATTGACTAACTTAAGGGACATTTATGTCTATCCCTTTTATATGCGTATATGTATATATGTCCTTTAGAAAATCAAGGCATCAGTGATGTATGTCTCATTGCTTAGATATCCAAGCCATTTCTCGGGCAATCGCGAGTACTTTCGGATTGGCTTAATCTATCAGTGTCTAACTAGCCTTTATACAAGCTTGGTTCATGGTCAAGTATATACAATCTGTTCCATTAGCTGTACAATCATCACTAATCTACACACCTATTAATTATGACTTTCTTATTGTTCATTTATCATTCAATGTATTTTCTCCTACCTTATTCCCTTTTCTTTTTTAGCTGGAGTTGAACAGTTCATGAGTTGTGATCGTTATTTACACTTACATACATGTTACTACGTTCGTGAAATGCGTATTCATGCATTAAGTCAACATTTGGATTCATACAGTAGTTTAAGTTTAGATAGTATGGCCGCATCGTTTGGTGTAACTCCAGCATTTTTGGATGCTGAATTATCACGTTTCATAGCCAATGGTCGATTAGCTTGTAAAATGGATAAGGTTTCAGGTATTATCGAGACAACACGTCCAGATAACTTGAATTTTCAATATCAGGTAAATTCATTTCAGTGTGTAATTTTTTCTCAATCTTTTGCTGACTAATAAGTTTATTATGATTTTGTTATATCGTCTCAATTGGTTGACGAATTTAGTGGAATTGATAAAGTCACTGAACTAATAACTTCCTCTACAGACAGCTGACCCATAAATCTGCAATGAATGAATTTCGGAAGTTATAACCATTAGCTAACTGATCAAATTAATAGTTTACATCACAAACTAGCCTTAGTCAAGCAACCATTGTAAACTAGGAAGCACCAAACAGTTGTCCCGTTCTATCATGGAACTCTACAATAGTGCCCAACCATGATCCCCCAGGAGATCAATTTCAAGACTTTCAGGCTTTGTGGAGAACACTTAACTTAAGTCTCCAGGTCAGTATCGCGCAACTATCTTCCAATGATATGAATAAGTAGCTGCTTCACAATCTACATGAAGTTGTCATTTTCTATATTGAATATGTAATCAAGTTAATATGACTTATCAAGTTATGGATAAAAATAATGATTTCCTAACCCTCCTCGTCTCAAAAGATTTCTGTTTAATTAAAAAAATCTTAACTATATCTGTTTTCTTTCAAATTATGATGTGAATGAATTGACGTGGGTAAAATATAAAATACTCTTCACTGGAAATATTAAGATCAGACAGATTTATCTATCTGTGTACCTATTTTTTAGTTCTACATCCTTCTAGTTTTTTATTTCTTAATTTCACAATTCAATCTTTAAAGGTATGTTAAGTTTCTGGGTTAGAGTGAAACATCTGTTAGTTTGTTTAGCTGTGTCTTTGTGACCCGTTGATCTGACTCTGATTTGGACGAATTAATGTGCTATCAATGTAAATCTTCCGTTTAATTCCGTATATTCTACCTAGGCTAAACCCGTTTGTGCGACATCAGTAGTGAGAAGCCGTATACGGATTGAGTTGGACGAGTTTATTTCAGGTATTCGTTTACTCAGACAGACATTAAAACGAGTAGTGAGAAAACGAGGCGAAACGGAAAAGGCAAATGTGCCAAATCCATCTGATAAGTTGTGATCCAGTACTTATAACCAGACAAAAATAAGCTAAAGAAATGTGATGAATGGGGTAAGCGATACACACGTACGCTTATTCAAAAATAGTCAAGGTATAGGCCGACGATTGACAAAATCAAAATACGTGTGTGGATAATAACTTAAAAGGGTAAATTAATTGGTCTGTCTGAAATCTAGATTAATTCATGTAGGTGTGACTTAGTACTGGACACTACACCTAGTTAATCAGGGCTGACCTAAACCGTGATTTTTCTCGCATTCATTGCAAAGGATAAATTCATTGAGTTTTTATAAGTGAAATTTACTTCATTTTAATCGAAAACTCTAAGCAGTTGTAGGAGCTGGTTTTTCAGCCCTTGTCTGAAAACTGTCAGTAACATGTAACCGCGACCTCATATGATCCATAACCGTGTCATATCCCATATATATACATCTTTTTTCAGTCCAGTAGTTGAGTTATCTCAATTGCAGACCAAGCTAAGCTTGAATCACACCGGCCATTTCCTGTTTTTAAATGGTCTTAGAGACAAAGACATTTGTTGGGTGTGTTAAATAATTCCACCTAACATAAGAATGTAGCACGCATGATATCAAATTATTTAAAGAAGTGGCCACATTGCGACTTCATCGATAGAATTGACTTGTCACTGAAGACTAGATTAATCGAAACGATATGTTCCTCTGACAAGATTTAGTTGTAATTTTAAGTGTCGATGTTTTGATTCCATCTACTTTGATTTAAGTATTATCGGTTAGTAGTGTCACTAATCTTCATATAAGGTGTGAATAAGAACATAAGTACATAAACCTGTACTTGACAAATAAATTCACTTATTCTTATTTTCGTTGTAATATCATAACCGAACCCGGACAACTCAAAAGCCACGCGTGTGACGTTTCTTTTGTTAATCGTAACAGATCACTAAATTTTTAAACAACAGCAATAATTAAAATTACGTACATATTTTGCAGTCATCATCCTTTTAGTCATATTTCCCGGATGATAAACTAAAAAACGTGTAACATCATACTATTTTCATCATAAGAATAAATCAATAAATAATGGTATCTGCCATTGTAAAGAAAATATGATGTGTTACTGCTGTCATCCATAAGTGTCAACCAAACACCTGCCTACCTACATGATCCAAACCCATTATCACGTGAATTGGCAGTATAAGGGTTTGTGGAGATTATTGAATGTTATTATGATCACTTATTGACCTGATGTAGACAGCCATTGAAAACCCGAAAGCACTGGATAGCTGTTACGTTCCTAGTACTGGACTTTTCAGTAGTGAACATCCACGACCCTACCACGGTTGATTGAACTCAGAACCTTCACCTTCGCACGAACGCCAAATATCTAGTCCACTGAACTGAAATCCAATGGTAATTATGAATCCACTGTTCAATGTTACATCTTATAATCTGACTACTTCAAACCTTTCAATATATACTCCTATCTTAACTGATAATGAAAATTTGGTGACTACATAACATTACAGACTGTCAAAATCACACGTTATATATGTAAAAATATTTGTCATTATCTTTAGTCCCTTCATTAATTCCATTCTCTTTTCTACTTTTTAGACTATGATTAAACAAGGTGATATTCTACTGAATCGAATCCAAAAACTGAGTCAGGTTATCAATATATAATGGAATACTATTATACATAATTATTACCCATTGTTATCTAATATACGATAGTAATACGGTGATGGAGTTTTGTATACAATAACTGTACTTTTCAAAATACTGTTTCCTTTTCTACTCTCTGCCTTTTTTATGTGTGTATGTGTATGTGCACACGTGTGCGGGAGAAATCGTTTCCATAAAACCTCATTTTAGTGTTATACTTTCTAGCCGACTTTTCACGCCGGTAGATACTGTCGTAATGGTTAGTATAAAGTCTACATATTATGCTTTCATTGTTCTGTTTCAAGAAGTCTGATTTATCATAACTTGCTATTTGGATCGATATTGCGTGCTATATCGTTAGTAAAACCAATGACCTATTCTAACAGCTGAGATCTTGATGCTTATTGGTTCTCAAGCCTCTTAAAACCAAGTAGCTGAGTAGAAGACACAAATAGGAAGCACACTAGTTCTCTCTTTTACCCAATTTAATCATGATTTAAAACTTATACAATAATTGATGGAAGACGGAGCTAAGAATACATAATTACTTAGCAATAACTAAGGGTTAGTAAAACATATAGCAACAGTTAATAGGTTCACTGAAAGCACATAATAAGGAGAGTATAGAAACCCAACAATATAGTTACCTACTCATTATACAATATATATTTGTTTACTGAAGGGCATTTTACCTGCTATTCAAAACCAAGACTTCAATATCAATCTTGAAGCGGTCAGTTTGACTCAGTGAAAATAAACTGTACTAATGTTATTGAAATCAATGTAGATGACTAATCAGAACTAAGATACAGGTTGGTGATTTAAATTGTGATCTTTAAAACCCAATTACGAATAATCTGTTATCGGAATCCATATTTTTGACTAGATTTTTGCTCATTTAAAAGAAAATGATATAAATAATGATCACTTACAGAACCTTAGGTCATGGAGAAATAGCATCTTATATAACTGTTGGCAATAAATGACATACAGAAAATGTATGTTGTCCAAAGACGAGGTTATTTTACTTTGCACTAGACTTTATCCAAAGAAGTCTACTAAAGTGGGTTTCTTTTCACGATCAAACCTATAAGTCGTTTGCACCATCTGCATCCCGATCGTTATTTAGTGATAGCGTTAAACTATTAGGGTTGACATTAAATGGATGGCAATCATGATTCCCTACCACCCATTTCTTAGAAATTGTAGGATGTGAAAAGAAAGTTTAGTGATTGGTGTGTACTCAAGTGATAATGAACAAAAATTTTGTCACCTTTAATAATGTTGTAATTGGTCGTAAACTGTTCATCTTTGCAATCTGATTAGTTGGAATCGAAATAGCATCAAATGCTTTGATTGCATGTCATAATTTGCATTTTGAAGATAAATACACCAACTCACTTTGACTACTGTGTAATACTACTGTTAGTGAATGTGTATTGGGATAAATTTTTGTTTTCCGATCAAGTAGACGTTGAATTGAAGTCGTTAGTTATCTTGACACGATTAATTAAATATATCTCATTTAAAAAAAGTTTGTTAGGTTCGAAGCTTCACGAGTTCACTTAATCTGCAAACGACAACAAGACTCAAAGGTCACAAATATAGCTACTGATGCGTTCCAGCCCCGCTGTCTAGAAGGAGAAGTCCAAACTTGGTATGGAAAATATATTCTGCAAACAGCCAGAAAACGAGCAAGCCCACAAACACAATTTTTTAAAAACATATATATATATATATATATCGATATTCCATGGAGCTTTTAAACATTTGGTCGATAAGTTCATCAATCGACTATGTGCGTATGTGGTAAGGAATGCCCACGTATACATCTGCATACAAGCTCCACAAAGATAAAATTACAAACTATGAGTTTTGGGGATATATCGTCCCCAACAAAATCTTGTAAAAAAGAACTGAGAACCGATTTGAATATTTGATAATATTGATTACTGAAGTAGAAAGGTAGTCAATTGTTTAATACACAATTAATGAACCAATTATCATCTAAGTGTGTTCATAAGTTTTTCTCTTAAAGCCTGGAAGCACTGGGACTCCTCAACAGTACGCATCCACTAATTCATGATTTCAACCAATGAAATTTCTAAAATCTCCACAAAACCCATTCTTATAATAATAATCACCTGATCACTAGTGACTGACTTCAGGAGACACTCCTGGAGTTCTAGTGAGAGTTCAGGTCTGTTGTGAGATATCAACTCACTGAAGACAATGGTGTGCGGTTCCGCAACTTCGTGGATTGGTTGAAGTTAGCCATTGACACCGTTGGATGCCAACTCAGTGGTCTAGTTGGTTAAGCGCCTGGCGCGAGACATAGGTCCTGGATTCGAATCTCAGGGGTGCGGGATCTTGGATGCGCACTGCTGAGGAGTTCCATACTAGAGCGAAACGGTCGTCTAGTAATTCCAGGTTTTCCATGGTGGTCTAGCTTTAATTTCTAAAAATCTCAACAAAATCCATTCTGATAATAACCGTTTTTGACAAGTATTTGAAATATTGGTTATATTAAGTGTCAATGAACAAGCCTACGTCGTCTGACGAAATAAATTTCTATCTCAATTATACAGATTAATAATGAATAAGGTCGATTGTATCAATTCACAATTAGGTATAATGACGTTTGATTTCAATATATAATAAGTAAATTTGTGACTTTGTTACAGTGATTAAAGGTAATATACAGATGTAAAAATTAATAAGGTGACATGATGAGTATTTATTAATACTTCCACTTCAGCCTGTGATAAAAGAGCATATTGATCCATATCAGTTTGCCTACAGATGCAAAAGAAGTACCTTAGATGATGTTACTGTTCTACATCACAATATAGTGTTCAACTTAGAAAAGGGTCAGAAGTATGCTCGATGCGCTTTTCTAGACTATACTTCAGCTTTTGATTATATACCAAGACAACGTTTACTTACCAAGTTAATCAGCGTCAACCCTAACAGCTACATAACCAACTGGCCATGTTCCTACCTCTCTGGAAGGGAGAAGTACATTGTATTTGCAGGAAAGTGTTCAGAGTCTACTGTCTCATGAAGGTGTACCACAAGGAGCTGTTCTTTCACCTCTTTTTTTCTGTATGATCTGCCATGTTCCACAGAAAACACCCTTGTGAAATATGCGGATGATCTCACTGTATGTATGCCTATCTCTTCCTCTTTACATCCCATAGAAATGAATGAGTTTCTGTCTCGTATTGATTGTTGATCTGTTGGTAATGGTCTCATACTTAATCCGTCTAAATGTCAAGCTGCTCACTTTAGCATGAGTCATGAACGGCATCTAAATACCATTTTGAAATCCCATAATGCTTGTGCCATTGGAGACTTTGATAAACACAGTGTTGAAGGTCAGTTATCTTGGTATCACCTTTTTCTCTGATCTCTCTTGGTCTTCCCATGTTTTATTGTTATCGAAGAAGGTTTTCCGTCTGACTTACTACATAAAGAGATTGCATGCCCTTGGGATTACTCGTCATTTACACTTACCATTTGTCAATTCTTGCATATTACCTATTATTCTTTACTCTTCTCCATTATTCTTTCCCGGGCCTTTGAGAAAAGACTTTGCCGTATTGCGGAGAGTGCTAAAGGCAGTTAGCAAGATGTGTGGTGAATCTTTCGAGGTCATAATTAATATGGTTGTGGATAGACATTTAAAATCATGCAAACTCCTGGCAGGTGTCATTTTATCAGATACTAGCCATCCCCTTCACTCTTATTTTTCTCCTTGTATATCATCTGGTAGAACGAGACGTAATTACATTAAAATCCATGCACGCAAGCAAATGTACAAAAGTTCTATAATACCGTACCTAGCAAATATACTCTGTGATGAACAGGTTGTTAGAGTTAACCTAGTCAATAACCTGCATTCTTAACATGTCTCTAATTTTAAAAGTTGTACAGTTTTTCGGGGTTTTTTTAAACTTTTTTTGTATTTGTTACTGTTTTTTTGCGTAAGTAACTTGTTGAAATACCCTGTGCTGAGAATTCTATATTGTACCAAAGATATAATATGGAATAAAGCCATTAGATAATAATGATAATTAAGGCAAAGGTAACGACCAGACTTACTTCATACGTACGCACAGTTCTGGTTTCAGGTTCTTTAAATATAAAACAAGAATATAAAATTCTTATTTTTGTATTCATAAAACGGATAATATTCTTAATTGTGTTTACTTCTCTATGACCTATAATCACATTAATTAGTGCAATCATCCTGTTATATTCACTACTAAATATAATTCTAAATTCATTGACCATTCGACAAAATGACAATTTTCACTATACTGAAATATTCCTATTAAAATTTACTAAAATGTACTATTATTAGATAGATTACAAATGTGTTACTAATGCATGAACGGTAATCACATTAATGCAGATTTAGCTGGTGGACGGCGCAACTATGAGTTGGGTATAGCGCCACACATCGGACAGTTGACTGCACGTACGTTTGGTGATGGGTCGTAAGCACAAAACCAATGAAACATTGCTTTTCAAGGACAAAAATCCCAAGCAGCTGCATCACCAGTTTCATGTGGAGGCTGTGTAAGATGACACAGGTGTTTTTCGATTCAGCTTATGCATCTTCCAAATTCGATGATTTGTCTTAACGAAGTTGGTATTATTTTGTTGATGTAGCGTCGCTGATGGTTGAAAAGCAGTAGACCATTTTTGTTTTCTCGGCAGTAAGTGGTCTGTGACATATCAGGAAAACGTTTCGTCTGATACTTCGATCAACGATAAATAATTGTTAAAACTACAAAATAATGTTATGTAGATTTTGATTTACCTTTCAACCGTTCGAGTGAACATCAGCCGAAAAAACAGTTGTATCACTTCTGATCGTACCATCTACAATGACGGAAAATGGATTAATGTTATGGAATGAAACACTTACCCTCTTTATGACATTGCGAATAACGTGTACACGACACAAAATGTGGTGGGAATCGGGATACACCTGAGTGATGGCAGCAGCTATTGCAGGTGAATCATCTGTTACAATGCCTATCACCTGCCGATTGTTGGTTGACCGTTGGAAGAACGACAGGAATCGAGAAATAAAAGTCGATTTTTCGAGACTTATAAATTCAGTACAAAGTTCATATCAAGGGCTACTACCTGATATAAATATACGTTCTCGTTATTTGTCTTGTACGTCCCGTCGAAACCCATGACATCACAAAAACGAGCTGCCAAATTAATTTGATCAGCAGTTGTGAAGAAAAAATATGACAGAAAATTTTCTTCGTCTAATTAGTATTTTCAAAGCCCACCTAAAGACGTTATGTGAGCATTTAATTTGGCGTAATCACCTATCGTTTACATTATAAATAGGCAGATTGCTTACCAGGAAGGTTGGCTTGTGAGAACACTTTGTGGCGCATATTAAAAACATCTTGAGGATTAATGCGCTTTCTATAAGATTGGTAAACAAAGTGCATGATATTGAATGCTGCTGTCCCAGGTATCAAAATTGGTCTCACTGTTTCGAATTCCACCTCCGTTAACCTGCTCATCCAATAATTACTTTGGTACCTTAGGGAATTGCACTCGTGATTGTGATGCACATTCCCAGGAACCACAGTCCAGTAACCTTCGGTAAACTTACAAAAGATGAAGGAAGGACATTGAGTGTTCACGAAAGTCCTTTATGAAAAATTATAATAACACTAATCAAATTACCTCGTTCGTCTACTCGGCTGTGAGGAACCGCTAAACGTCCTACGGCCATTTCTCCAACATATTAATCTAATATACGACTTCTGATCTCTACGTAAATGAAAATCCCTCACCACATAATTGCTGTACGTAGCTCTTTCATACGTTCTAATGGCGCTCTTCAACGCTTCAAAAGATTGGAACGCTACGAGATACAATGTGCTCAAGAATAGGTATTCGGTTTCTGTGACAACATGAGAAACGACGGAGCTCGTGCTTTGCATGTTACTACCATCCATAATTGTAAGAAAATGTGCTGTCATCAAGTCCTGATATTTTATATCGATTTGAAGAAATAAACGACCAATTATAACGAACTCAAAACTAGTTATTTGATTGGACGAAAAAGAATGAAAATTATTGGAAGATGGGGATGAAAAATTTTCTCAAAAGGGGTGAAAAAAATTTCACTCGAAAAAATACAAAAATGGCCGTGCAGTAAATGTTTACCGGAAAATGGGATGAAAAAACTTTTTTAAAGGGGTGAAAAAAATTTTAAAAATTGCTGGTCGCTTATTGATATTCTTATTAGTCTTATCTTTATCCTTATCACCTCTTACCCCATTTCCTGTCTAGTTGACCTTTTATGTTTTATATATAAATGCTCTTAAGAAGTATATATGTGACTAGATTGTTCGAAATGTATTACGCAAATATATCACATAGTTCTGATAATCTTCGTCTTCTAATATCATTATCGAAATTTATCAAAGGGACTAATTGTTTTAAATACTCAATAGTGTTCTATGTTCCAGTGAATGATAGAATTATGTATAAGTACTATTGAGTAGCGAAATGGATAATGGCTAACAATGAAATCCAGGACATGCGTTTCATCCTATTTGGGACTCGTCAACTGGATATACCTGCATCCTGGAGTTGATATTTATTTACTCTGAGACGAGCACCTAGCACCGTTTACTTCAACATCTCGTTATCCACTTAGCTATTGAGCTCTGATACCTACTAATTTGTACAATCAGATGACTACTAAGTAGTTCTATATTTAGAAAAATGTCATCAAGTCATTTCTGATTAATTTCAGTTATTATTTTGTCAATATTACTATTTGATAATAAAGTATAGTTGTATAATGATGATTAAAAAAATTTGTAACTCATTCTATACAATAATGAAATATAAATTATTGAATATGTTTAGTAACCAAAACTAATGAGACAAAGCACTAGATAATAGAATTTCGCCTATCATTCATACATACAACCCTTATACATATAATTTGCGATCAGTAAATATTACTGTAATGGTAAGAAATGCATCATTTTACAAGGGATCGAATACTGAATAATTTATCAATATCAACATTAAAGTTGGATTTGATAGTTCCAAATAAAGTAAGTATTAAGTGAAAATTTAATAATAAAATAAATGATATACTTATCAGATTCCAATAAGTAGAAATGTGAGATTCTGCAGTTTTATGACTTAATATAAGCCAATTATCAAAATGGAGATCTAAGGAGATTGTAGTAATTTTAATAAATGAATTCATGAGTTGATCTAAGCTAGACTAATATTGAAAACGTAAAAGCACTGAATGATCGTTTCGTTTTAGTATGGGACTATTCAGCAATGCTCATCCATGATTTCTCACATTGGACTCAAACCCAGGATCCTCGGTCTCACGCGCGAACACTTAACCTCAAGATCACTGAGCTGGCACCCAACGATGTCAATGTCTATCTGATGAGGAAGTCTTTACTAGGATGAAATGGTCGTCCAGTGCTTCCATGTTTTCAATAGTGGTCTAGTTTAGATCGACTAATGTATTTAACTTTAAAAATAGGTCAATTCTTCAGATGATTGAACTTAGTGTTACTTTTTACTATTTAAATTTGTGTTAATTTAATTCGATTATTTGTTTTTGTTTATCCTGAACATGTAGTTTAACTTCATAAACTCAAATTTATGCTCATTTGAATCTTACAAAAATAGATCATCATGTTAATATTATGTTTGTCTAATCCTTTAGCACTGATCGAATTGTTTTGATCAACATATAGTGTTATCTTTAGTGCCCCCAAATGCCCTGGCATGGCCGAGAGTGGGGAGAGTCCGCTCTCCCTCTCCAAATGCTCTCCCATGGCCACGCGTATATAGCCTCTGTCAGGGAAGTCCTACTCACTGCCTTCTCGTGGCGGGGATGTTGTTTACGAAAATGAGAAGACGAAAAGCGAATGTCCGGCGCTTTACCCGGATTCCAAACTTATGATCCACATGGACTACAGTATCCTGAGGGAACGAATGGCGTATGAACCAATCGTTGGTCACCGGCCTCCACGGGACTACATCTCCTTACGATGCTCCACTGCCTTGTGGATCAAACCTTCAGGTCGAAGGCTCGGGGTGTGGCCCCCTAAGACAACCACCTGCTTCGGTTTGGGCACCCGGGTAGTATCACAGCCCTCACACATATCGAATGAGATTTGTGTGGCGCATATGTATTTGGTGCCTCCTTGTACCAATATCTATGTGTTAAAATAAAAATAAATAAATAAAAGTTATCTCTAGTCTATCTGACATTTCATGGAATATATTTCCATGTTAGTCGGTTGGATACAATACATCATCTAGAATTCGTACTATTTTATGTTCTTCAATAAGATATATCTATAATTTGAATATAATATTATAATTCAATGGTTGTTTATAATGAAAAAAAAGATAATTAATTTAAATAATTACCTGAGAAATCACCATCATGTTTTAATTGTTGCATTGTAGATGTGGTCATATGAATTAAAGCATCTAAGGCAGAATTTGAAGGTATCGATAAATTATGAATATTACTTGTATCACTCATATCATCACTATTAACAGTATGATTATTATTATTATTATTAATCGCACTATCATTACTACTATCATTACTATTATGAGTAGTATTAGTAGTGATTGTATTATTATTTACACTATTGTTACTTTTCAATGAATCATTTTCATTCATTTTTAAATGTTCCACATTTTGACAATAATTTTTAATGAAATAATTCGTTTTATATAAATGATATAATTTTTGTTGTGTATTGAAACAATTTAATGAATTAAACCATAATTGATAAGTTTTTATTTTATCAATTTTTGTAAAAGATTTAAAATGACCATGATTTAAATTTAATAGTTTTAAATCTCCCTCTTGACAACTAATTTGTTCTTGTTTTTCTTCTCTTTTTTGAGGTTTATTTTTAGAAGGAATATCATCGGTGCTGATGATGATCGGTATTGAGAATTGAATTCTCCGTTTGTTTTAAATGATCCATTGTATGGCGGCAATATTGTTCATATGATTTTGTCAAGAATAATTTGAATTTATTTTGATAATTTAATTGTTGTTCATTATAATTTGTTGTAGAATGATTGTCTATTTCCTTAAGATCATTATTATTATTTAGTGATGTTTCTTGAAATAATCGCCAAATTTCCTGACATAATTGTTTCAATGAATGAATATCATTTGAATTGGTAGCGGATTTAAGTCCAATACTTTCATTTAATTGTTTATATTGTTGTGATAATTCAAATGGTAGATATTGAAATGTTTCTTGAGTTGTTTGTATTTTCTCTTTATATTACAGATTCATTTGAACAAAGATAATCGTATTTCTCCAAAGATGATTATTTCTTGCATTACACTTTTTCTTTTTTTCGTTTCCATTTCAAAACTTCAACCTTCTTGTTCAGTTTTTACCAAAGTTTTTATAATCAGTGTCAAATATAAATGTTGGGATGATCCAGAAAATTTCTTGCACAACACAAGTAAGCATCAGAAATAACTAAGAAGAGTTTCAGCCAGTCAGCATTCACTTAAAGTCTTAGCCAAAAAATATCAAGGAAGCGAAACGTCACATTCAGAGTCTGTGATTGGTTGGCTGCTATACAGCTACTATTCTTAGTAGCATTCCAGAATCTTCGAGCAACACAAGGACATTTAAAAATATTATAAAAACCCTATATTTTCTGTGTTAAAATGAACCTTGGAGTAAACTACTTCTCGCATACTTTGCGTCTTCTCTCGTTGTTCCGGTCGCTGTATAGTTCTAGCTTGGGGAGCTGCAGAATAGCTTAGAAGACGAATATAGCGTTCAATCCGCAAGACTTATCAATAAACAAAAAAATATTGTATATAACTGTAGTAACACTGAAAATCAAGCTACAAATGAACTATTTAATTACTGAGTATTACTCGATGTTTTCATTAGATCCTGAATGGGTTCTATTGATTCAATTAAAGTGTGATTACAAGTCCAAATCATTAAATGTAGTTAAGCACTATGATTGAGGTTAGATTATCAAAGGTGATTGGAAAGAAACCCCTGATTTGGTTTTTGTGTTAATATTAGATTGTTTGTGCTAGGTTTGAAGCGCTTACGAATTCACTTAGACTACGAACGGAAAAAAGACTTGTGACCAAAGATCAATAAAATAGATATCCTATTGGGTCCCAGCCCCGCTAACTAGAGAGAAAAGTCGAAGTCAGAAGCACGAGCGATAACAACAAACACAAATCAAAACGTATATATACATCACAAAACCGTCTTTGTGAAGCGTGATAAAATAGCATACTACAAGACACAACGAACTAATAGCGTTTAAGATTCTCCCAAGTGGGAAATACGACTTGAAGGTGAAAACAGCACTTTTGGCGCAAAAACAAAGAAACTCAATTCTCCTAATTGAAATTACAACATTAGGTCCTTTTTGAAGTGAGTTCTGGGGATCTAACGTCCTCAAAAGTTCGTTTTTGGTTACTTGATTGAGTATCAGCGAATTTAAATATGTTTTTTCTTTTTCTCTGATCATTCAGAAGTGCTTATTACCTTTTCTTCGTTCACTCAAAATGCAAGTTTCTAGTATATAATAAACCATCAACTATTCACATTAGGATTTGTGTTTATTATGAGTTTTCAGTGGGGCTTTTTATTTTGTCATCATTTAGATTGGACAATGTTGTCGACGGGCACTCTACTTGAGTGGCCTGAGTTCTGACTCTAATTTGATCGTATGAATGATTGTTATATATGTCGCCTATCCTCGTATATAATCGTCGACTTTAATCGCGTTAGTCAACAACGGAATCAAATAAGTCAAATAACGAGAATGGACTTTTGAATACATATATTTTGTATATGAAGCGAATGGAACAGAGAGAAGCGAAACGATGCGCAGTGGAGATGGAGGGTAAGTCAACTCTCATTTAACCAAGCGTTAATCAATATTTATAGTCACACAAAAATAAATTACAGACATGTGATGAGTAATGAGATAAGAAATGTACACATATATACGCTCATGTAAGAACAGTCAAAATTGATAAGTGAATAATTAACAAGGTCAAAATATGACTCAAGTAGAATGAATAGATTGGCCTATCCGAAAGCTATAATAAGGTATATGGACTTAACATAGTAACCGAAACTACAGGTTGATTATCTATTAATCAATAAATAAGAAAATGATCTTTTCAATGAATTCCATTTATTCTACATAAACTTGTGTCATGATGAACATAACAAGGCAATCTTCAAAGGATGCATATATGTTCATGAAGACTGATAAAATTTCAGTCAAAATATCAACAATGAGATAATTCTAAACCATTACAGATTAAATTGAATGACCTACATAGTTTTGTGGAGAAAGAAAGAGTTAGTAATGTTAGGAATAAATTATAAAAGTTGTTTTACCCTAATGTTAATGTTAAACACTATATCAGTGCATAGCATTATATCGTCTCAAACTTATGATATATTATCTTGTGTTAAACAGATTGATCTTTGGCCACTTCATCTAAATTCCATAAAATAATTCAATTACATTTCATCACCATTAATAGGAATCCTATCGATAACTTAGTATGTTTACCAGTCATGTGGTGTGTGCTACTTATGTCTACATAAGTAGTATATGACGTTCGTCGTGAACAGAATGTCAGTCAGCAGGGAGACAAGAGGATCGAACAGTAAAGAATGGGAACAGAATGCAATTTGTATGAAAATGCAAGAACAATGAAGTCTGAATCATTTTAAGACAATTGATGGACATTTTGCAAATTAAGCATTTACTTTATGATTGTTAGATTTTATTAACAAGTTCTGTAATTTCACGTCAACTACATTCGATTGTTTCCCGCTGGTGTTCTGATCACCATAGTAATTCTGTTCTGAAAGGGAATAATGTGAGAACTACATTCCTAAATTTCTCGTTAATCTATAGTTTCAGAAGAAAATAACTAAAAGAAATACACATCTATTCAACCTACAGTAGTTTGAGAACCCGGACACAATTGGTTTATAAGCATTAATATCGAGATGTGGCATGTAAATTTCAAAAAGTGGATTCGGCATGGGTTAGATTGTTCATAAAATAACTGATGATCTATTCGTACTATCCTAATGAGTAAAAAAAATTAAATTTTTGACTTTCCGTAATTTAGTATTTTATTTATTCTTTGAAGAAGCGATTTATTGGAAACGTTGAAAGCTTAATTTAAGAGTTCACGCGCGAGACTGAAGATCCTGGGTTCGAGACTCATGTGAGGGATCGTGGATGTGCACTGCTGAGGAATCCCATACTAGAAAGAAACGGTCGTCCAGTGATTTCAGGTTTTCCCTGGTGGTCTAACATTGATCTATTCATGATATCAATCTAAACTCAACAATCTCTTCAACTCTATACTCATTGGGATATCACAAATATATGGTTATATATATTTTTTATTAAGTAGATATAAATATTAGGTTACAAACAATTTATATTTATTCTTCTGTGAAGTTACATTGATGGTAATATCTTGCGAGGTGTTTTTAAACCTACACAAGGGATGGTAGGTTTACAAAATATCATCCACATTATAATGGAATAGGACTTTTTTATATGTACAACTCGATTGAAGAAAATACACAACTATTTCCCCTTTCTTTCTTGATAACTTTGTCTAAATATAAAACATATTAGTGATAGTTGTTTTATTACCACAGTAATGAGTATTGATCATTTAAATGGAATAAGGTGATCTGTAATAATGGACGAGTAAAAGTAAGCTTAAGAAAACCGGAATGTATTTCAGAGAAACTAACTATTCAATTCCCATTTATCATTATCATTGTAATTTCAAATAGATTGGGTTATCTTCTCTACGGCAGATCCTGAAATCTTATCCTTCAGGTGAACATTTTGACGTAAACTGAATAATTCATTATCGTTTACAATACTCTAGTTATACATTTACTGTTTGCATCTGGTAAATCGTTCTGTCAACGGTTTTAACTACTTGTGAGTAATATTTAATTAATAATGAAACTTTTATTACACCGTCATATTTTATGTAGAAATACCATAAATCGAAGTAATTCAATTATCTGATCAGATACATTGGCTAAATATGATAGTAAACTGAATGTGGTCTCTTCTTCCAAATGTATACTATTACTTATAATGTTACTACTTAAATCTGGAGCTAGAGATTAAAACGATCATTGTTAAAACAGAAACATTTTATCAAGACTTTTGTATAAGTTAACGTTATTTTTCATTAACAACATGATTCATTGGCAATGGATGGTTATTTCTTCGTAGTTTATGACTACTTTCCGGCTCTCACTCACCAGAATCATATAGAATGGGAACTAGAATGTTGAGGCAGGACAACTACTAGTCGTCGAGTCAAAATTCATTGGTTAAAATGCAATATTACTGACGAGAAATCGTCTCACATAACTCCATCAAGCAACAGTATATTTTGATGTTATTGATTATTAAGGTATGAATTATTTTATTAGTTGGATTAATAAAAAGTATCCAAGAATTGTTCTATGAATATATAAATCCATCAAATAAAGTTATCTCCGTAACATTTGGCACAGGGAACTTGTGAATAATGTACAATGTGTAATAAAACTACTATAACTACTACTACTACTACTACTACTACTAATAATAATAATAATA